CGGTTGCGCGCCCGAGGGCGGGTTGAAATGTGTCGCCCAGTTGCGGTTGCGGTTGCGCGCCCGCGGACGGGTCGAAATGTGGCGCCCAGTTGCGCTTGCGGTTGCGCGCCCGCGGGCGGGTTGAACTGCGTCGACCATTTGCGGTTGCGCGCCCGCGGGCTGGTTGAAATGTGGCGCCCAGGCACGGCTGCGGTTCGCCAGCTGGCGGTTTAAAACGTGTCGCCCAGTTGCGGTTGCGATTGCGCGCCCGCGGGCGGTTTGAAATGTGTCGCTCAGTTGCGGTTGCGCGCCCGACGGCGGGTTGAAATGCGTCGCCCAGGTGCGGTTGCGGTTGCGCGCCCGCGGGCTGGTTGAAATGTGTCGCCCAGTTGCGGTTGCGGTTGCGCGCCCGCGGACGGGTCGAAATGTGGCGCCCAGTTGCGCTTGCGGTTGCGCGCCAGCGGACGGTTCAAATGCGTCGCCCAGTTGCGCTTGCGCGCCCGCGGGCTGCTTGACATGCGTCGCCAAGGTACGGCTGCGGTTCGCCAGCGGGCGGGTTGAAATGTGTCACCCAGTAGCGGTTGCGGTTGCGCGCCCGCGGGCGGGTCGAAATGAGTCGCCTTGTTGCGGTTGCGGTTGCGCGCCCGCGGGCGGTTTAAAATGTGTCGCCCAGTTGCGGTTGCGCGCCCGCGGGCGGTTTGAAATGTGTCGCCCAATTGCGGTTGCGGTTGCGCGCCTGCGGGCGGGTCGGAATGTGTCGCCCAGTTGCGGTCGCTGTTGCGCGCCCGCGGGCGGGTCGACATGTGTCGCCCAGTTGCGCTTGCGGTTGCACGCCCGCGGGCGGTTTGAAATGTGTCGCCCTGTTGGGGTTGCGCGCCCGCGGGCGGGTTGAAATGTGTCGCCCAGTTGCGGTCGCTGTTGCGTGCCCGCGGGCGGGTCGACATGTGTCGCCCAGTTGCGCTTGCGGTTGCACGCCCGCGGGCGGGTTGAAATGTGTCGCCCAGTTGGGGTTGCGCGCCCGCGGACGGTTTGAAATGTGGCGCCCAGGTGCGGTTGCGGTTGCGCGCCCGCGGGCGGGTTGAAATTCGTCGCCCAAGTGCGGTTGCGGTTGCGCGCCCGCGGGCCGGTATGAAATGTGGCGCCCAATTGCGCTTGCGGTTGCGCGCCCGCGGGCGGTTTGAAATGCGTCGCAAAGTTGACGTTGCGCGCCCGCGGGCTGGTTGACATGTGTCATCAAGGTGCGGTTGCGGTTGCGCGCCCGCGGGCTGGTTGAAATGTGTCGCCCAGTTGCGGTTGCGGTTGCGCGCCTGCGGGCGAATCGAAAGGTGTCGCCCAATTGCGGTCACCGTTGCGCGCCCGCGCCGCGGGCGGGTTGAAATGTGTCGCCCAGTTGCGGTTGCGCGCCCGCGGGCCGGTCGAAATATGACGCCCAGTTGCGCTTGCGGTTTTGCGCCCGCGGGCGGGTCGAAATGCGTCGCCCACTTGCGGTTGCGCGCCCGCGGGCGGGTTGAAATGTGTCGCCCAGGTGCGGTTGCGGTTGCGCGCCCGCGGGCGGTTTGAACTGTGTCGCCCAGTTGCGGTTGCGGTTGCGCGCCCGCGGACGGGTCGAAATGCGTCGCCCAGTTGCGCTTGCACGCCCGCGGGCGCTTTGAAATGTGTTGTTCAAGATGCCCTCTTGGAGTTCAGTCAGTCAGTCAATCAGTCAGTCAATCAGTCAGTCAGTCAGTCAGTCAGTCACTGGCGGGCACGGAATTTCACCCGGCCTCGCAGGGAACAAATGGGCTCTAGATATTTGGCTGTCCCGGGGCTTGAACAGTGCCTTTGGGGCCCGAAAACACCGACAGATGTCCCCGAACCTCAGAACAAAAAGAAGGGGGGGAATCCTCGCCCCCCTCCGGCCGACCCATGCGACCCGAAACTCGGAGATGCGGGCGGCCATGCGTTGAGTGGACCCCCGGAAAATCGGTCAAGAGCGGGGGGTAGGGGAAATGCATTCAAAATCTGTCCCTGGACCCCTCCCGGGGTCCCTCCGACGCAGTTTTTCGGCCCGAAGAGGAGGAAGAGGACGGGGGGGTGGAGTGGCGCGACGATGGTTGCGGGGCGAAGCTGGACAAACATCGAAGTGGACCTTCTAATGGACGTACTTCGGCACGGCTGACGTGCAGGGCGAGAAAACAGGAAGACGCTGTGCAGTGGTAGCTGGCGTATACGTAAGATTGTGCGATGTTATGTTGGATTCGATCTTGTCCCAATGTCGATGCGCTCTGCTGTCGTGTCACGAATGTTCTGCTGTGTCATGTGATGGCCTGTTCTGCCGTGATACTCCTCTCCACTACCACCGTTGCTATGTTCAAAAGCGTTGGACAAGATTCCATGGAGTAACTCTGTAACATGTTATGGCCTGCTGTGTCCAGTTATGTTCTCGACGGGCCGGCGTGACGTCGTGACGCCTGGGCGACACCGTCGACTTGTGGCTACTGTATACGCGATGTTGTGCGAATGTGTGTGCGTGGTGGGATTATGCCCCGATGTAGGATGTGACGCTGTGTTCTCTGATGTTCTGAAATCGACGGGCCGGCGTGACGTCGTGACGCCTGTCACGCTAGAGACATCGTCGCATCGCTCATTGATGTGACACTTGGTTCCAATGGCGACGCTGACCAAAATGTACGTAGGTGGAATACGTTACGATATCCCTCTGCCCTTCCGTTATCTCATTCATGAAAGCATGCTCTGTCACGCACGGTGTTTCCTCAATGTGCTTTGGCACGTTATGTTTCACCCTGCCCTGTGGCACATTCTAAGGCATGATATGTGCTCTCAACTTATGTTTGCTATGATATGTTCCGTGATGGCGTTGCCGGCTCGGCTCAATATAGTAACGTATGGTATGAAATGTTAGTATGGCTTGCTATGTCCTGCTCTGTCGTGGTACTCCTCTCCTTCACTACACGACTGCCACTTCCGTATTCAAAAACGGTTCAACCGTGTTCCATGTAGTAATGATATTTCATGGTATGCTTGATTATGTCCTCTTCTGGTGTCGACGGGCTGGAATGACGTCGTGACCCCTGTGACGTTAGATGCATCGTCTGTTGTGATGCCCCTCTTCACCTGTATGTTTCTCATGGTTGAATATGCGATGGCATGCTCATAGATGTCGCCATATGGTTGGAGATGCGATGGTATGATCTGCTTTGCGGCGCTATGCGATTGCATGATATGCTGACGTAATATGTGTTAGTATGCTCTGTTCCGTGATGCTGTTGACGGCTCGGCTCAATATGCTATGGTGTGATGTGCTCTGCTAGTATGGTTCGCAATGATGTGGTGGCGTATTATGATATGTTATGTGATGTTGTGTCATGATATGACGTGTCCTGCCATAGTGTGTCATGTTATGCTCGTTTATGGTATGTTGTATAACTTTAGTTCGTCGTCTGCTCTATCATGTTATTAGTTTGTGTGTTATGTTACATTGTGCTTGTGGACGGCCCGGCACAGTATAATATAGTATGACCTGCTGTGCTAGTAGGTAACGATGCGCTATACTTTCGTGTTATGAAATGTTATGATAAGAAGTGCAATGATATGGGATGTTCTGCCAATGTTTCTTATGGTGTCCTCGGTTATGCTGTGCAATGTGGTAGTATGCCGCCTTCTGTTCTACCATGATGTGATGTGATATGATATGTGACGTTATACTATGCTCTTGCTTGTCGTGGTATTGATATGCTATGTTACGCTCTGTCATGGTATGGCATGCTCGCGCCATGTTATCTTATCTTCTGGTGTGGCATGTTATGGTCTGGCGTGTTCGCCGCTACGCCCTGCTGTCGTCCTATAACATGTATGGTGACGCGGTGTCATGATATGATGAGCCCTGTCAATGTGTCTGATGTTATGCTCGGTTCCGTTACATTATGTTGTGCTCTGTCGTTTTCTATTATGCCATGTTCTGCTATGGTATGTTATGTGATATGCTGGTGTCCTCTGTTTCATCATGATATTGATATGTTATGTTCTGACACGTTATGTCATGCTCTTGATATGTTACGTCATGTTCTGTTGTGCCATATTGCGTTATGTCTTGTTTGTCGAGGGCGCGAGGCGGGACAACCGGGACTCTCGGGACAACTTGGGGTCTGGCGGCCGCGGTATGCAGGCTGTATTCTGTCGTGTTTGTCGAGGGCGCGAGGCGGGATAACCAGGACTCTCGGGACAACTTGGGGTCTAGCGGCCGCGGTATGCAGAATGTGTTCTGTCATGTTTGTCGAGGGCACTCGGCAGGATAACGGGGACTCTCGTGACAACTTGGGGTCTGGCGGCCGCGGTATGCAGGGTGGGAGTGGCCGGGAGGTCTGTTCTTAAAATCTAACGACCCCACCCTGTCCGGTGGGGAATAAGCACTCCGACATGCGAAGCTTTCGGTAAAAGCGTCACGGGGAGGGATCGAACAGAGCAGGGGTGGTTTGTAAACGCCCAAGGCTGTTTAGTAATTGTGGCGGTCGGGGGCGCGAGGGCGCGTGGCTGGGCCACGCCCCCATCATTGCGCGGGCAACCCCTGCACATACGGCGGGTCCGCGTCGCGATGGCGCCAGCACTGGTCTCTGACACCGTGCGGATCGTTTAGCCCTACAGGGCCGCGGATCTCCGATAGTGCAGATAGTTCGATGTCGCTGACTTTGGGCCACTGGACGCGCTCAACTGCCTCGAAAGCCCGCGCTTCGGGGCCGCCAGCGTCGACGGGGCGAGATTCTGCCACACGGCCCTCTGGGCCTTGGTTTGGTCTTTGGAACATCACTCCGGTCTCTGGCGGCCGATCGGGACGATCCGGGCCCCCCGGCACGCCCTCGGCGAGGCGCAGCTGCAGGGGAGGGCCCCGAGGCCGGAAAACCTACAGGCGCCGACGGAGACGTCCAGAAACCCTCGGCGCCGACGCAGCGCACACCGCGCCCAGGCCCCCAGGCCCGCCCCCGAGGTGCTCTGCGCCCTGCCGTGGCTTTCGCCCGCCGCGCGGCCGAGGCGCGCCGCGGCGCCGAAGCCGCGCTGCGTGAGGGCAGCCACCACGCCGCCGCCGTCCTCGGGGTCCCCAGAGCCCTCCTTCGGCGGCGAGCGAGGGAGAGGAAGTGAGAAGGAGGAGGCCTTCTCAGAAGGCGGCGAGACTTCTCAGAAACCCCCGCGCCGTCTGAAAGGTTTTCCGTGCCTTGGGGAAGGCTTCGAAGACTTCTCAAAAGGCCAGGGGGCTTCCGAGTCTGCTGAGAAGGCCCGCCTCTTCGCACTTCCCCCCAAGCTCCCCGCCGATTCCTGCATTGCCCTGCGCAAATTTCCCAGGATCTCGTCGCATGGGGAGAAACTAGACACCTACCTTGGATAGGCTGTCTCCAGCAGGCGCGGGTTGGCGGACCGCTCAGCCAGGCTGCCTCCTCGCCGCCCCTCTGTTCGTCCCACCGCACAGTGGACGACAGAGGAACGGCGAGGGCAAGGCGGCCGCCCCCAACCCCGCACCCCGACAAAAGCACATCGACCTCTCTCTCCCAGGGTTTGGGGAGCGGGAAAAGTGGTGGGTTTGTTTTCCACCTCCACCACCAGAAGTAGGAGGAGGGGGGTCGTCCTCCTCCTCCTCCTCCTCCTCCTCCTCCTCCTCCTCCTCCTCCTCCTCCTGCTCTTCTTCCTCCTCCTCGCCATCCTCCACCTCGTTCCCCCCTCCAACTTATGGTGGTGGTGGAAAACAGGCGCATCAAAAAGTGGAGAGGTGTGACGAGAGTGGCTTAAGCCCAACTGGTCGCCAGATCCTGTGCTGCCAGAAGGTGCGTTGCGAACCCGCCCCCCCTAAGGATCCTTAGGGGGAGGTTCTGCGAGGCCACATTTAGCACCCCTTTAGGCACGCATCTCAACCCACCTCCCCCCCATGACCTTCTGCCGCATGACAAAGGCTGCCACGCCCAATTTCAATTATAGAGTCGCTCGTTTTGGTCGCCTTCGGCTTGTCACCGTTAATGGGCCTCCAGGGGTCGTTTTCGGGCTCCAGGATCGTCAGAGACGCTCCCGGGACGAATAGGTACCCCCAGGGGCATCCCCCGGACGATTTGCCAACACGACCTCCATACATTGCATGCCGAGCTTGTACCTCACAACGCAGGACCACCCCGAGCTGGACACCGAAGCCCCCAGCCCGACATGGCCCTGCGCCTCCGGATCCCTGGAGGACAGGGAGGAGGAGGAGAGGGAAGAGGAATACGAGAGGAGGAGGAGGAGAAGGAGGAAAGAAGTCAAGCACGAAGAAGATGATAGCGAGGATGGCTGCAGCAGCGTAAAGAGGGAAGGGGATGAGTCTGAAGACTCCGAGTCGCGCACAGATCGCTCCCAGATGTCCAAGATGGCCTCCAGACGGACCCACAGGCCTCCAAAATGTCCAACAAGCTTCCAAGACGCCTCCGAAAAGAGCCCCAAAGGGCAAAACACGCTCCACTCCCTTCGCAAAACGTACTTGTCAACCAGATTCGCCTCCTCAACTTTCGCAGCGTCCATGACGGCTCCAGAGGCTCCAAAGATCGCCCCAAAACAGCCGCAGAGGTCCCCAAGATGGCCCCAAGATCGCCCCAGAGGGCCTCAAAGCGGCTCCAGGACCCCCCTAGACTGACCAAGACGGCCTCAGGATTGCGCCAAGAGGGGCCCAGAGGAGGAACCAGAACGGACATTTCGAACCTTCGGGCCCCAGACGCTCCGAGGAAGCTCCCGGAAGCTTCCAGGAGGCCCCAAGAGACTCCAAGGGACGTTCCGAAGGAAGCCCCAAGAGGCACGAATCGCTCCACTCCCTTTGCAAAACGTGATGTTTGATCTGATTGCCTCCTCAGCCTTCGCAGCGTCCAAGACGGCCCCAGAGGAGGCTCCCAGGATCGCCCCTAGACAGCCGCAGAGGCCCCCAGCGAAGGCTCCAAGACAGCCCCAGAGAGCCTCACGACGGCTCCAGGACCCCCCTACAGACTGGCCAAGACGGCCTCAGGACTGCGCCAAGAGGGGGCCCGGAGGAGGAACCCGAGCGGACATGCCGAACCTTCGGGCGCCCGGCGCCCCACGGAAGCTCCCGGAAGCTTCCAGGAGGCCCCAAGAGGCTCCAGGAGACGCGTCCGAAGAGAGCCCCACGAGGCACCGCACGCCACACTCCCTTTTGCAACATGTAATCTTCAACCAGATTCGCCTCCTCAACTTTCGCAGCGTCCAAGGCGGCCCTAGAGGCTCCCAAGATCGCCCCAAGACAGCCGCAGAGAACCCCAAGAAGGCTCCTAGACAGCCCCAGAGGGCCTCAAGACGGCTCCAGGCCCCCCTAGACTGGCCAATACGGCCTCAGGATTGCGCCAATGATGAGATAGTATGCCGATGGACAACAATATCTCTTTTCATCTTGAGCCAAAATGGGCGCACGGAGGAGGGTGTCAGAATCACTCCTCCTCGGGCCTGGCCGCAAACCGGCCAGGCACGACCTAAGTCGTACGCGGGCGCGCCCGAGCCGACGCGCCCAGCTCATCAGCTAGGCTGCGGCCATGCCGCGAGCCCCTCACTCCGCCCGGCGCGATCATACCGCCGCCGGCGGAACCTCATCCAGCCCCACAGGTAGCGGAGCATGGATTCGATCCACTCCATCACTTGAAGTCCTTCTGAGTCGAACTCGGTGCCCGATCCCAGATGTTCAGCGTCGCCATGTGTCTCCTCAAAAGGGATCCACCCACGCTCTTGGTCAGCACGTCCGCGACATTGTTCTTGCCAGGAACCGCAGCGATCGAGATGTCGCCCTTGCCAACACGCTCCTGGATCCACAAGTACCGTGATTGAACATGTCGCATCTTCCCGAGACCTCGCCGTTGGACGTGTCCCCCAGGGCCAGTCCGCGAAGAGGCTGTGAAGGCCTAGGCCCACGCTCCCGAGGCAAGCTCTCACCTGACTCATGGATGCCCAGCCGCCCAACTGCCGCGTACACCCGGATTGTCGAACATCTTCTGCTCCGTGAAAACCGTCACCGTGCTAGGATGCCGCTTAAGGTAGCGGCCAACCCTCTTGAGCATGAGCCAGCTCGCCTCCGTTGGCGTCTGCATGGACCTAGCGAGCGTCTTCGATGCCTCTGCCAAGTCCAGCCTGTCCTGAGACAGGTAGGCCACCCTCATGGTGAGGGATCGGAAGCGCGAAGCTTCCGCTGCTCCCAACGCCGCCGACTTCGCATCCATCATCTGCTTGTCGGCGCTGCGCTTCTCCATCGGCGTGTCCACGCCGTTGGCCTTGCTGAGACCCAACTCGTCGATCACGATCTCCGCGTGCCGCTTGTCCGGCTCGATCATCGCATGCCGGCAGGGCCGGCCACCGCCAGGCGGAACTCCCGCACTGACCTCGATGACCCGATTCAGGAAGACCGCCTGCTTGTCATCGCCCTCGTCGAAGCATAGGTTCGCAGTCTTCTTGAACTCGTACTTCTTGCCCAGCGTGGCCTCGAAGCTGTCGATGTCCTGCTGCTGAGCCAGCACCGCGAAGTCGTCGCCGTGCCCCAGCAGCCTCGTCTCGTCCACCTCCTTGTAGAAGACCGCTGGGCACGACACGCCTGCCTTGTAGCCGTTTTCCTCCAGCAGCTCCGTGTAGTCGCCCTGCCAGATCTTGCTGGCGTCCTGCGTGCCGTACCAGGACTTGAGGAGTAGGCCGCACTTGTCCTCGCCGTACTCCTTGCGACTCTCCTCCTCCAGCTCCACGAAGATCCCCCGCTGCGCCTTCCCGTAGAAGTGCGCCCTGCTGATGTCGAAGAAGCCGATCTTGAAGTTGCCCGGCTTCCTGCCCTTCTTGCGAAGCGACTCCTGAATGTGGAGCGGTGCTTCCCGCGTCCACGTGACCATCAGCGAGACCAGCGACCGCATGGCCTCCAGAGGGGGCATGGCCGAGAAGACCTCGGACGCCTCCAGCTGCTCGTCAGGGCGCTTCTTCGCCTTGATCTCCTTCACGACGAGCCTGCTCCTGTAGTTGGGCCTCTCCGCGTCACCCTTGTTCGTGTCGACCCACTTGAGTGGGATGGGCGGACGCCCAGTCTCGGCGAAAGCCAGAGACCTCGGGACGATCTCGATCAGCTCCTGCTTCTTGACCCACTCGCGCTCGACCGCGCGAGCCTGGGCCACAAGGCCCGCCTCCAGGTAGCCGCCATGGACGTCGTCCCAGTAACTCGTCCAGTCCCCGGGCGGCACTGCCGCGTCCACAGGGACTGGGCCCGACTGCTGCACCTGGGCGGTGCTGAGCTCTCCCACGTCATTCAGCGTGTCCTTGAGCTCCTCCAGCTCCGCCTCCACCAACTTCGGTGGATAGACCTTCGCGAACCGCGCGATCCGCGCGGCCGTCCACATTGCTGCAAGTGCCCTGCAGCTTCCGGGCTAAGCCTGGATGGTTGGTGACCCATCCGGTCTCCTTGCGCACGAACTCCTCCTGACCACTGCGTGGGTTCGTGAGCTTCATGCCCCACCGACACATGGGGCCTTTGACCGTGAAGACTCCTGGATGCGCGACCAGCTCCTTGACGATGTCCTCCTTCCACGATCGCGCGCTCCAGGGATGCTCATGCAGGAAGTACCTGCCTGGCTTCCTGAGCTGACGCCAGTAGGCGTCGACTGCCACCTTCAGGTGGTGTCTGGCCTCCTCCATCTCAGCCGCCTCCTGCTCATCGGTCCTGAACTTAGCGCTCAGGCCCCTCAGCAAGCTGAACTTCTCGCATGGAGGGGACCCCGTGAGCAGGATGGGATCCATCCGCTCCTGCTGCCTCTCGAGCTCCTTGACATCCTCGGGGCGCCGCAAGTCCCACGGCGTCCCGTCCTCCTTGAGTTCCTCCAGGTCCGCCGCGAAGCCCGGGCGCAGCTGAAATTCCGCTGCCCGAGCCGAGAACCGATGTGGCGAGTACACCTCGGCCACGTCCACGGCGCCCAGCTGCAACGCCGATAGGGCGATGCTGTCCACCTCTTCGTCGGCGATGTCCACGCCGGCGCTGGCCCAATGGCCACTGACCTGTTCGCGAACGAGCGGGAGCAACTCCGCCTTCGCTCTCGTCAGCGCTCCGAGCTCAACTAGCTCGATCGACGCCACATCGAGGGCGAGCACCCGCATGTGCCTCCCCTCACTGGCGTTCCACACGACTGCCACTCCAGCTGGCAGCTGAGGTCCTTCCGCCGGCGCCGGCTGCGCCGCGAGATCCTCCATGTCCACCGGTACCGGCACGTCTGCCGGCTGTGATCACCGCGCTCGAGGGCCTCCGGCACGTCATCCGGGGCCACCTCTGCCAAGCGCTTCAGCCGCGACCTGGCCGCGGTCATGTCGACATCCGCGGCGGCCTCTGCCGCTCGCGCCGCTCCCGAACTGGAGCTCGCTCCTCCTGAAGGAGCCGCCACTCCGAAGCCCGGTGCTACCGGCTGGCTCTCTCGCATGCGCGCCGCTGTGGCTGCCACGGCTGGCGCTGCTGCCGATCGGGTCGCGGCCGGCGCGGCCGATGCCGCCGCCGCCGCTGCCACCGGCTCGGTGATCCTCCGAGCCGTCTTCGGCGGAGGGGTCCCTGCCGCGGCCGCTGCCGCTGGTCGGACTCTGGCCTCTTGGCCCTGCCTCCGTTCTCGATACTGGCCGGTCCTTTCCCGGCCTGCCTCCACCGCGTCCAGCGCTTCGAAGATCCTCTTGCTGCACACCGCGTTGTGCGCGTGGCCAGCCAGCACCCGGCCGTGCTTTGCGATCGAGACGCACCCTGGGCATCCCGGCGTTGCGCCCAGCCGCTCGACGTCCGCCTTGAGGACGTACATCCTCCTCGGCGCCTGCGGCTGCGGCGACACCACCACAATTGGTGGCGGTCCGACCTCTCCAGGTCCGACGATGGCCCGCGGCGCGCTTGCCGCACGCGGAGCCACGTCCCACGGCAGGCCCTTCAGGCCATCCCAGCCCGCCGTGATCCACTTCTCGCTCTGCGGCAGGCTGCGGAAGCCGACCGCCTTCTTCACGCCGTCGCTCGTGATGACCATCATCGAGCTGTCGCGCGGGTGTGGCCGATGTAGCGAGCCTCCACCATCTGCTCCTCCAGCGCGTTCTTCCTCGCGCGCTCCCCGGCGAACCGCGCCATCAAGCGCTCGCCGAAGAGCGGGACCGGCTTCCTCCACTGCCGTCCCGTGAGCCGCTGAAGAGCGGTCTTGCCATCCTGGCCGCGCCGGTATCGGTTGATTACCGATGCGGCGTGCTCCGGCAGGTGCGCTAGCACCGGGTGCTTGTCCTCCACCTTGACGCCCAGCTTGGACTCCAGGTCCATCTTGAGCGCCCGCACCTGCTTCTTGATCTCGCGCACCGTGACCTCGATCTCCCCATTGGCCTGATGATCGGCCGGTGCCGATTCCTGGGGAATGGCCTCGAGGCCAGGAACCTCCTCCACCGCACGCCTCTTGACCAGCAGGATCGCTGGCTCGCCGTCGGACTTGTTGACGATCTTCCTGTAGCCCAGGATCCTTAAGAAGCGTGCAAAGAACTTGATGGCGTAGGCGTCGTCGCCCTTCTTCTCCACGAATGTCGCTGCCATCATCTTCGAGCGCCGATCCCTAAGTACCAGCATCGGCATGGTGTCCGCGTCGTCCTGGCCCATGAAGGCGTAGTCGGACGAGACCACCGGCACCGCCGTCTCGTCGTCCTCCGGTGCGCGGAGATGCGGCTGGCCTTGGCCCTTTGCCGCAATACACACGCGACACCAGCTGCGATAAGTCGCGTGTCCCATCGCCTCGTGTTCGTCGATCTCCCTCTGAGAGGGCTCATGAGGTGCCTTCAGCACTCTCGGGCGAGCCTCCTCCTCGCCCTCGTCGGCCTGCTGTCCATCAGGAGCAGCTGGCAAAGCGTCGGCCGCAGCAGCTGCCGCTGGCTGAAAACCCGGCGGTCTCACGTCGGAAGGTCCCGACCCCGCCGCTGCCGCCCCCGCAGCCGACGCCGCCGGGGGCCGTGGTATTAAGTCCTCCAGTGGGCTTACGCCGAGGGCTGCCTCCTGGGGACTGTCTTCTCGAGGATCTCCAGCAGCTCCTCCTTCGACTTGCCGCTGAGGAGCTCCACCAGCTCGGACTTTGACTTTGCCGAAAGTCCCTCCTCGAGAGGAGCAACCGAGCCATGTTGGCCCTTCTTGAGGTAGAAGTTGTAGACGCCCTGCTCGCGATAGACCGGCAGCATCTGGTGCTTCGCCGCCTTCGCCTCCTTCTCGAGCATGCCTACCACGCGCTTGCCGATTGGGCTCTTCTCGTGGAATATCCAGCCGCCATTGCGACCCAGGACTGAACACTGTCCAGCTCCTGCTGCCTGCCCCACCGAGATCAACGGCTTGTGCACGTTCGTCACGCGTCCCTTGAGCGCTCGTAGCACTCCGTACTCGTCCTCCGCCTTGAGCTGCAAGCTGCCCTCGTCCGGGACGAG